TGGAACAAGGAACGGCCTAGGTGAAGACAGGAAGGAAGGAAAGGGTGGGATCTATTCCAGTCTGGGTGGTGCCATCAGAATGACCTGGCTGAGCCGAAGATGAACGAAGCCATCTGGTGGGAGACACAGCTAGAAAGGTGAGCTGGGGCCTGCGCCTTAACTAGGATTCAGACGTTTGCTCACTGAACCCAGATTTATAAGCAGTTGCGCCAAGGCAAGGCAGAGTGATTAATCTGATGAATATTCCAACTGATAAAATAACCACGAAATCTCTGCTTTTCATGCCTCTGCCTAATATTCGAAGATGATGAAAACCACAGAGGCGAAGCATTTAATCCATCCATTAGTTTGCAAAAGAGTAATATCTAATTAGTGCATATAATGTTAATTCTAAAATGAACTACAGAACTAAACAATGAAAGTGAAATATGTAATATAAAAGTGCTAAGGCTGATCAAAGAAAAGATCAAAGAAAACAAGATAAAAGGTGACCATAGCCACAAATATGCAGCGAATGTCTCCAATGAATCATTTCTGCCTTTGACTGTTCCAACACGTGTCCCCTGTCCGCGAGTACCACTGAGTTAGGTAGCTTACTAGAAATCTGGATAGATTTCTAGTAAGCTACCTAAATTGATATAAATGTCTTATTTCATAAGTAATTTGAAATCTATACACATAAAAATATATGCCCAAATTTGTATACTATTAAATGGACTGGATAGCCAGATAAATACATATCTGGTTTACTCTTCCATTAACTTTTTTCCTCTTGCTATATTATCTAGATCTGTCTTTTCAAGTTATCATTACCTAACATTTTCTGTTTGTAGCTTGAACTGTGGAGAAAATCTATATCATGATTTCTATTTTATATCTGGAAAACATGAAGTAAAAACAAAAGTCAAATACGACAGGAAAAGGAAAGACGGAGCAGCTCCCTGAGCCAGTCTGACCGAGCGCCCAGCACTGCGTTACCTGCCGGTCCCTTGTCCTCGCCTACCTGGCCATCTCCAGCTCCCCTGTCCTTCCGGCCGTTCCACCTACACGGAGAAACAGGCTCCCTTGAGTGGCGTTGTTTCCAGCAAGCTTGACAGACAGTTTGTGCCTCCAACCTTGAAACAGGGAAAAAAAGAGAGAGGGAGAGAGAGAGAACAAAGGGTTAAAAATATGTGAAAAGCAAGAGAGCCTGGGCTCTTTAACGTGAATGCAACTTTCAGGGTTAAAGTGTAACAAGGCTGTTGTGTTCATAAAAAAGTACTTGAGCTAGCTCGAGTGAATTCGGTGAAAAACTACATTTGAAAATACATATAAACGTTCACATTTTGATTTTCCACAAGTAAATAGTTTAACGATGTTTTAAAAAAAAAATTCTCCAATTTTCCAGGCACTCTTACGACTCTTTAAAATGGAAGTTGTGTGTCTTCTTCTGTCCACTGTCCCTGTGTTCTGTGGTATGTGTTACTTTCTGTAGCCAGCTTTTTATTTGCCATAGTTGGACAACTAATCCGGAAAAGATCTTGAAAACCTACTGGGCAGGAAGGTCTGTGCTTTTATAATGACCTTATAGGCGGAGTGAACTGCTGCTTCCTTTCCTGCAGGAGCACGTGCTGGGGATGCCTAGTCCTGCACAACCCCCCAAAAGGATAATTCCCTTGTAAATGGTCAAGAGTAACTTTAAAAAAATGTAGAGCTAAACAGAGTTTTCATTCTGAATTCTGAAATTGTTCCATGCTTAATAACATGTTGAAAAAAAAATGCAATTCTTCATACAGTTGTTTGAAAAGTATCTGAAAGGGGTAAAACCTACCAGAAAGAATATTCAATGGGTTAATCATTGCCGAAGAATACTCTTTGCCCCCTCAGCCCGTTCCACTGCAGTAATGTCCCCACGGTCACTTCTCCACCGACACCAGTCTCCCTAAGGGCACTGATGATACTGGGTGCTTCGTCCCATGAGCTCTTGTCTCCTCTCCTTTTAGTATGTTTGATGCAGTGAATGCATCTTCCCTTCCTCATCCTCTTTCTTTTCTTGGCTCTTTTAACACCGATTACCCTTCTCCCTCTCTGCCCATTCCTCAGTCTTCCTGGCAGGGGCCTCTTGCTTTGCTCTTATTTTTTTCTCAACTTGACCCGGTTTTCTTGGGAAATTACATCATTGACTTTCGCAGCTCCGAGGACTGTCTAAACACAGGTGACTCTCAAATCTCTATCTGTGGACCACAGCTATCGCCAGAGGCTGACACCCATATCTCTACCTGCCGAGTGGGCGAGTCCAAAAGGCATCCCAAACCTGACATGTTTGAAACTGAGCCCATCAACTTACTCCAAACCAGCCTCTCTTCCTGTTACCACGCTCAGTAAATGGCACAGAATCCACCCAGCCGGAATCATCCTTGACTTCGACTTCCTGTGTCCCTCAAATCCATTCACCAAGTTCCTTTTTGCTGCCACCTCCTAACCTCTGTATTCTCTCCACTTCTCTCTACCCTTATGCCTGGATTTTGCAATAATTGTTGTATTTTTCCCTCCCAGCTTTATTGAGACTGAATTGACATATAACGGTGTGTCAATTTCAAGTGTATAATGTGATAATCTGACGTACATATATTACAAAATGATGAGCACAATAAGGTACGATAACACATTCACTACCTCACATAGTGTGAGGCAACACCTGTTCTAACAGGTTACTCTGCCTCCATCCATGCAGCAACTAGAGTGATTGCTCTAAAATAAAACATCTGATAATCTTAATATTCTTCCGTGGCTTTCCATGAGCCCAAAGGCAAAGCCCAGACTCCCCCCATGGTGCACAATTTCATTTTTGACCCAACGTACCTCTCTCAGGCCTCATGTCACATTACTCTCCTCCTGGTCCCTATCATCCCGGCTCTCCTTTCAGTCATGGCTCTTTCTTACCTCCGGGCAGTTCCTTCTGCCTCCCATACTCCCATTTCCTTCTTCTGTTGACCCATCTTTCAGGAGTCGGTGTAGAAATCACGGTCCCTCAGCACGCTCCCCGACCTGGTCATGGAAGTTCCTCCTCTGTCTCCTAACACAAGATTTCTTGAAACCGATAACTTTATTATTTTTTTTTTTTTGCTGTCTTCCCCCTTAGCCTAAACTCACCAACTTTTTCTTCACTGCATCCTCAAAGTCTGGCCCAAAGCCCACTTATTTAGTAGACCCTCAGTAAAAACTGTTGAATTAAAAAAAAAATGAGTACCTTAAAGCATGACAATAAAACTTAGCTATAATACTTACGAGCAAAAGGGGAAAGAGCCCCGGTGTTTAAAAAATAATATGCTCTATTAGGCTTCCTATTTTTGAGGTGAAATCTATCAGCAAAATGACCCATCGTTGGGCAACCTTCTTCGGGGCAATGGAAGCAATCTCCCTGGTGACAGAAAATATGAGGCAATCAGAAACGTAATCAGAAATGTTGCCCTTCAATAAACTTATGCTATATTATTCAACTATAATAAATCTTTGAAATTTAAACAAAGCGTATGCATTTAAAAATGACTAAGTTGCCTGACAGGCCACGGTGCCCATTTGCAAAAACAAAACAAAATAAGACAGAAACAATGGAGGAGAAAAAAGTAGGATGGCCTGTTAGTAAAACAGGTAAATGGTCTGAATAGACAATGCACAGAAGAAGATACTCGAATAGTCAATAACGATGTAAAAAGATGCTTACTCTTACTAGTTGTCAGAGATGTGCCAATTATAACAACATGGAATTTCAGCAGATTTGAAAAATTAAAATGATTGGCAAACCCAGGTACTGGTGAAGACTGGAGTGGGGGATTCACATTTGCTTCTGATGACATAAACTGACAGACATTGCAGAGAGTAATTTGGCAACCCCCGGAAATGCACGAACGCTGTGACAATTTCACCTCCGTTATATGCCATAAAGAAATTTCCACCCAAGTTCATAAGGACACGTGCAGAGGTGTTTATTGCCGAATTACTTCCAATAACAAAAATGGAAATAGCCAAAAGGCACATTAGTGGAGGAATGAATAAATAAACTGTGGCTGATTCCTATGAAATAAATACATAGACCTATGTAATCAATGTAGATTTCAAATTTATAAAATTTAATGAGAAAAGCAAATCCAGAAGGATATGTACAGTATGATGTCATTTATTTGATATATATGTTTCACTTCCAATTCTGACTTAGGGTAGGCAGTGAGGGAATACAAGTTATCTCAATTCTTCAAATTTATCTGTATGTTTTAAAATCTAAAGCAAAACTAACAAGATGTTAACTTTTTAAAAAATCTGGGTAGTAGTGTTTGAACTTTTAGATTTATAAAACATGGACATTTGGACTAGGACTATAGGAAAACACCCCCACTTAAAACTCCATTTTTAATGAAGGAAAATAATAACAGCTCATATTTACTGAGTGCTTACCATGTGACAGGCATTGTTCTAAGCACTTTATGTGATTTAACTCAATTAACCCTATTTTACAGCGGTGGAAACTCAAGTGCAGAGAAGTGAAACAATTTGTCCAATGTAGCACTTTGGGTGAGCGACGGAACAAGAATGTGCCCAGGCAGCTTGATGCTAAGACCTCTCCTTATTTTTTTAATTCTACATTACGTTACGTTATGTTACGTTACATTATATTATATCATGTCGTTTTATTTTTGTGACAATTTGGGTAAAAGTACAATAAAACATGTCAAGAAGATTGACTCCAGGTTCTCTAGTCTTGTACCCATAACTTGCATCCGTGTGGCACAGGAGTCTAAGATTCTCCAACCGGGCAGATTGAATCCCGTTATCTCTGACTACAGCATGACTCCGAGGGTCTGCCTCCACCTGTTTGGTCAGCTCCAGGACCCTTTTGCCACGTAGGGCAGCATCTGGGCTCGTGGAAGCTGGAGGTGGAAGAGCAGGAGGCTATAGAGGGAAATGCCAGTGTTTGTCTGTCAAACTTTCTGAGAACGGAAGTTCTCAGGGCACATCCATCGTGAATAAGAAAACTGGCTCTGGAAATGGCGAGGACAGCCTGAGGGCATCCGCTCACCTTGCTCTGCAATGGGAGGGAAATGTTCATTCCTGTCCCAACACTGCACTTAGTCACCAAGCGCTATTGCTTATAATAAACTTCAGCTGGAACCCCTGTGATGTTTTTCTACCCTGATAAAACAGTGGTCTCTAAACACAAGAGGGAAAATCTTTCCACTTCCCACTACAAAATAGATTTTCTTTCCCCTTTTCATAGTGATAACCAGATGAAAAATATGTTTAGCTCAGATCTGGCACTGTGTGCTTTATTACTCGAGTAAAATCAGATTTGGTGTTTTGTCACGTATTGATCTGTATGGAACTCCTGTGAGCTGTCCATGCTTTAGTTCTGCTCTGTATGAATAATTAAATTTTAATAAAATAATTTTAATGTTCCAAGTGAATAGCAACATGTTTGGTTGTAGTTATTGATTGGTTCAGCTTTCTTGGGGCATCTTTGAAGATGCCATTTAAAATATATAATATACACAGAAAAAATTTTTGCCCTGGACTTATTCCTGTTACACAATAGCATCTAATTACTGCATAACAAATGGCCAAAAAAACAGAACTGGATATAATCTTCAAAAGAGCTGAAACAACCAGAATACAAATGCTTTGTTTAGTTATTTAAGCCCTTCAGCAACCCCAGCTACTGTTCAGTACTCGACACAGAAAGAATCTACTATCTCCTAAAATGGCAGATACAATTATTTTTTTTAACCACAAACACAAAGTCCTAATTTTTAGTTGGCTGATCATGCTTCAAAAAATGACTTGCTAATTAAATTTCACTGCAAAATGCTTTACTTACTGCTTTAAAAGATTCATAGGATCTACAAGGATAAGCAATAAATGCATCAGGGTTGAGAATGCTTTCCATATAAAAGCGATGACTCCGGGCATGGTTGCAGTCAAAGAAGGAAGACACTTCTGTGAAAAGAATTTTCAGTTAACTCATAGCAATGAACTGCTTAACTAATAACAGAGAGTATGAACCTTTTTTTTTTTTAGAAAAAAAAAATAACTTCAAATGACAGTATCTTGACTTGGGTCTAAACGGTTAGACCTTGTGTGTAAGCTTGGATATTGCACAATATTTATCAATATTACATAACATTTTCTTTGTATCAAAGAATTCTTTGTGTGAATCTAAAGGGACATTCAAGCAGGATAAATAAACAAACACAAACGTAGATGATCCTGTGCTCTGACATTAATATCCCGCAAGCTTCTCAGATCTCTGACATAAGCACTTAGAGCTTTAAGCATCCCTGTGCATGCAGCATCTCCCCCTTAGACCGATTAATTCTCTGTCTCTCCATTTCTGCAGCAAGGACCGAACTCCCTTCTACTCAATCACAAAACAGCCAACAGTGTCAACCACTGCACACCTTCAGCTGAGTTTCAAGGTGTGGCAGGTGGGAGGTGTCAGAAAGAATGCTAAAGACAAATTCGTTCTATCATTGTCAGGCATTACATTATTGACAATATTTAGGATTATTGCAATAATATATGATAGATCAAAACACATTCGTGCATTCTGAAGTTATCACAGCATCGTAGTCATTTGTGCTCTCTTAACCTTACATAACAACATGTTTACTGTATGGCACAGACTATTATTCCCAGGACCTACACAGCTTGGTTGATCCTTGAGAAACTAGATTTTGGTTTCAGTATATGTGGTAAATCACCACTCTCTGACAGTGGCCTCCAATGAGTCACTCCTTTCTAGGTCCTCACCCTTTTGCAATATCATGTTACCATTCCTCCCTTCTAGAGATGAAGCCTATTGTTTTCCCCTTCCTGGGTTACAGGCTAGTCTTGTAACTTGCTCTGACCGACAGAATGTGAAGGAACTGACACCGTGAAAGCGTCAGAAGGTCTCTTAAGAGACTTTCCTGTGTCCACACTTGCTCCCTTGGAACCCAGCCTCCATGTTAAGGAATCCAGGTTAACTGGCTGTGGAGAGACGCCTTGAAGGATCACAGATTGCTTAAAGAGGGTGACAGGTAACAAGACCCCAGATGAAGAAGGCCTCCTGCTCAGCTCCGCCCAGCCCGGCCGCTGGCCAGATGCGATTGCAGGAGATCCCTCAGCAGACACGACGCAAAGCTCTAGAGTCTCAGCAGAACTCTGCCTGAATCTCGAGTCTCAGAACCTTGGGCATAAAACCATTGTTCTTTTAAGCACTATGGTTTGTTATGCAATAAATAATTGAGACAGCATAATTTCACAAATGCAACACAGTCAGCAGAGATCAATAATTAGCATCGTCCTTTTTTGAAATGAGGACTTTGCTTACATCAGGTCTTTTTATATACAGATTTCTGTTCACAATTAATTTTGATTTAGACAAGACGGTTCATTAGAATATAGGGAACAATGAACTTTGAAAGTAATGGTTTTTTAGTAATAAATATAATGTAAGATAGAAAATCTTGAAGACTTAAAACTCATCTAAAGACTTAACATGATTGATAAACGTGCTTTTAATCCAATAAAGTTGTAGAAAATCTTATGTCTCAAAATGCTTATGACAAATGCATGTTTTACTTGAATTAATTCTCTACAGAATTTCGAATGCTCTGTGTATAACACTAAATATAGTTATGTAAAGGAGTCTTATAATCTATATTTTATCCTAATAGGAAGGATTTTAAATCGTAATATGGAAAATAATAAGAAAAATTAGTTTTATATTGGCCTTTTAAAGGTGAATGTTGCTTATCTATACTAGGTGGGATTGATTTTAATTCTCATTTTGAGTATCTACAAATTCACCAGTGTTTTTTAAGTAGTCATTGCAAATAGATACTTTTAGTCACATTTACACTTTCAGGACAGATATTGAAACTTTATAATTTATCTCTAGTGATGAAAAAGAAATTCTAGCTCCTCTCAGTGTCATGGTCTGTGTATTTTTCCTCTATATCAGCCAAACAGAAGATCAAATAGTTATATCATCTACATATTCTGACCACAGGGGATGAGGTAGTGAGATATTTAGAATCATCCATATATTTATCATATCATCATACTATTATGTATGATTATATCTCATGTATGATATATTTCATTATTTCCATGATGATGATATATAGAGATAGGGAGGAATGGGATTCCCAAATAATAACTGTTTTGGTGCCTGATAGCTAAGTGCTCTGTAGATATTATTATTATTGGAAACCACTATAAAAGGTTAAATACTATTTGTTTAATTTGTGATTAACTTAATTTGTGATCCAGGGTGATTATTATAAAGTAAATCAAATCCTCCCACAACTCCCATCTCACTTGAGTGAAAGCTGAAGTCTTTCCTACCATCCACAGGCCCTGATTACCTCCCTCTGGCCCTGGCCCTTCTCTAACCTCAGGCCTTACTACTCTCCTCTCTTTCCC